GGAGGACGGTGGGGGAGTGAAGCGAAGTTGGTGGTGGTGGAGTCCCGTGGGCATGGTGGCCGAAAGATAGTGCTATGTGGATCTATAGGTGGCAGCTTGGTAGGTTGTGAAAGTGGTGGTGGTGGAGAATTTATGATTTCTTTGTAATTTTTTAAATATTTAAGGACCATAGTAGCAGTTGGTTATTCATCTTTTTCTTTTTGTTTCATTTGAATAGGGGGATAAAATCGTCTTTTATTGATAAAATGGTTGAAAATGATCTTTTGCGCAATGAAATGTGGAAGGTAGGGGTGAAAATGCCAAAAAATGAAAGGTATGGACGTTTTGCACAATGACATTGAAAGGTAGGAATGTTATGTGTTATTTACCCTTACCAAAAGATGTGCTAATTAATATGAGGGTGAGGACAAAAATGAGGTGAATAAATTGAGGACATAAGTACAAAAATGCATAAAAATGGACTATCACTGCAATTAAAATGTGGTGTAACTAAGAAAAGGATAGCGGGAATATAATTATCCTAATATTTAATCTATTTATCATAAATTGTTAATGTATACGTAGATTTTAATGTTATTATCGTATAGCATATCTATTTTTTTTCCACTCAGTCTATGTCGTCTCAAATTGAATGAAATAGAAAATTTGTCTTTTATTATACGACTTATATGTCATATTCAGTAAGAGGAATTAGATAAAATGTACAATGTCAAGAGAGTATATTCCTAAGGGTAGTTATATTGCCACTATAATTTTTATTTGATACACCACATTTTAATTGTAATTAAATTCATCAATCTCTGTTAATTGTAACAATTATTTTCTTAACTTTTTTTTCATCAAATTCTTATATTCAACCTTTCATTAAATAGAACTTCTCGTCTTGATGATAATTCATTAGGGAAAAAAATGGGTTTTTTTTAAATATGATGAAAAAATAAGTTGTTCTACACTAATTCAACGAGCTTTTGGACATAAAACTGTTATTAAATACAAAATAAGGTAAGTAATGAAAAGTTGAGAATAAGAATGACATGAAAAATCGTTAGAGACATAAGTGCTATAATGAACAAAGATTAAGAAATTTAAGTACAATTAAATGGTGGTGCAAGAAATAAAAATGGTAATTTACCATTGCAAAATTTAATTACTACACCACAATTTTTAATATTTTCTTATTTACTTAAATAGTCTTAAGTAAAGTTACATAATTATGATTTTAATAAATAACTACCTTAAAATAAATTATTATCCCACCACAGAAAAATAAAAAAACCTTTTTTTTTTCCCAAACATCTAATTGAGCATTCTAGCCAGCAAGCAATAACCAATTTCAACTTCTTAGTTTCTGAAAGATTACTATATGAAAAGATAGAAAGAAAAAAAAAAGTGCAACATTGTCAAAAAGATCATATGTGATGACAATAAGAGAAGGTCAAAAACCAAACATAATAGATGAGTCTCTTCCCCTCAAAACATGGCATTCGTTGTCAAGGAAAATTGAAAATGGCAACTTTTTTTTCATTTTTTTTTCTCTAACCAACAAAGTACAGCGATGTGCAGCATCTAAAACAATGAACACGAAGGGGGTTGGACATGATTCTCTACATCGGGAGACCATTCTGTTCTATTGGAGGATTTATCCTGTCTTTGTATGTGAGGCCTCCAAAAATCAAAATCATTTGCAACTTGACAGCGACAACTAAACAGCAGGATCAAAACTTCATAATTCTTTATTTTATTCTTGTAGTGACCTTCCCTCACCCTTCTTGATCCGTTCCTTTCTTTTCAATCTATCCGATTCTTACAGCACAATTCTCTAACTTCTCCTTCACCCTAAAACTCTACCCCTTCTTATTGACCGACCCGATTCTAATTTGAACACCATTCTCCAATTTCTCCCTCACCCTAAAGCTCTCCTCTTCTTGACGAAATATTTTGAGCCAATTTCGATGCCTTTCTAATCAACTCTTGTCATAGTGCCAAAAATTCCAGAATGGGTTGAAGAGGATGAGAAAAATGAGGAGTAATATTAGAATGATAAATACACCACAATATTTTTATTTTTTATTTTAGTTTTTATTGGATTAGGAGTATAATTGTAAATTTATTATGGTATATTTATTAAAACTCGGCGAGGGACCGCGGCTACACGTGCTGGGCTTCGCAGGAACAGTGTCGGGAAAGGAGATCGGCACGCAGGCGAGGGTTTCAGGTTTAGCTTCGTTGTTGGTAACTGTTCCTCTTCCTTCTCTCTATTTCCTTTTTTTTTTTTTTTTTTTTTTTTTGCGGGGTGGGGGTTTTGTAAGTGGGCATTTTGCCTAGATTGGACTGAAAGCATTTAACTTCCTCCTTTTGTCTTTTATAGGTTTTGTAATTGGGCCTTTTGCATACGTTGGGCTGAAACTTCCCCTTTTTTTTTTTGGGTTTTGTAAGTGGGCATTTTGCCTGGATTGGGCTAAAAGCCTTGAACTTCCTCCTCCCTTTTTTTTTCTTTTCTTTTCTTTTTTCTTTTATAGGTTTTGTAATTGGGCCTTTTGCATAGGTTGAGCTGAAACTTCCCTTTTTTAAAAAAAAAAAATTAGGCCTTTTGCTGTTTAACTTCAAGAATTGATCTCAGAATTACATTTTGGACAGCAGCAATGAATTTTTTTTTTTTTTTTTTGGGGCTCAGATTCCTTTTTTTTTATAGAAACTATGGAACGTTTTTGGTATTTGGGTAAATTGAATTAGGATTGATGCTAGATATTCTGGTTAAACTATGATTTAGAGATTTAGGAATTAGGATAATTTAACAAAGTAAAATGAAGAGGGTAAATTAGAGGAACTTTTTTCTAAGAGAAACGTTTTTATTTTCTGAGTCCAAGAATGCAACAAAGTTCCATCCCATTCACACTGATTTTATCAATCTGGCATGTTCAAGTTTAAATTATTAAATTTCTTTTTGACTTGAGTGCACCGTATCGTGGAGAATGCGATTCGTTGGTGATGACAGAGTGCAAGTTATTCATGTTCAGTGATCATTTGAAAGCACTTTAAAGTACAGTGAGTAACAAATGACGATAAACAAAGTTTAGTATGTAAAAACAATTAACTCACAATTTCAAACGTGGTAGTCAAGTAGAATTCCGTCTGTCCATGTAAGCTTTTCATGTGACGGCAACTTCATGGGTGATGGATGGAATGCAATTCGTACAAGTTCATTGACCATTTGAAAGCAATTCAAAGTACAATGAGTAAAATTTGACGAAGGGTAAAATTCAATATGTAATGAAACAATTA